GAAAGCAGCCCATCACCAACTGCTGGGAGCTGGGGTTGTACTCGCAGCACGTGGGAGATCAGACACAGCTCCAAGTGTGATTCACTTTAGACCAGGTGAAGTCAGTGATTGAGGTAATTGATTAATTAGTGCAAGCTGCAGCAGGCACTACGGAAACAACTCCCAGTGTCAGATGTAACTCCACAGAACCACAGAGATTGCTTTGCATCCCTCCCCATCCAAGCAAGCCTGCTAATGCAATTAAAACTGCACTAGACAGACTCCACAGAGACACTTCAGATTAACTCCTGCTCTCCCCATTTTCACCTGTGAAGCAGCACTCCCTCCAGAGCTCACTTCAACATGTCTTTCAGCCCTTTGCCAGCAGAGAAAATACCCTGCCTGCAAAACATTATTAAGGCTTTGACTAAGAAGTGACAAACTGGGAGGGAAATGGATTCATATCGGGGGTTTGTTTCTGTGTCTGCATAATTGCTTCCAGAAAACGTTGACCAGGCTCTCTCCTGGGCATAGTGGGAGCATGTTCTGGTTCACTGGTTCTGCCATGTGTTTTGTACAGAGTGGCTGAATGGATATTTACATGAAAATAGTATTGCTGAGCATTTAGTTCTAACCATTTTGTACTGGGTACAGCCATCTGGAACCAAAATGCTTCAAGAATATTACAGATGCTCTTGCATTTTTGTCTCAAAAACTTTTAAAATACAAAACTTCTACATCCACCCTCTAGAGTTGCCAAACTTTTTCCACACTTCTGTTATTAGGCAACTCTGTTATTAAGCAATCCTGTTATTAAGTTTAGTGGATGAGAGACATGTCTGTCATACTCAGCACCATGTGCCAGGAGCGGGGCTGTCACTGGCAGGGAGCAGTGTAGCATCCTGACCACAGGACTGCCCAAGCACAGGGAGCCTCTCCCTTTGGTTCCTCATGAAGCTGGGTCTGTGCCATTCCCTCTTCAGGCACCGCAGCTGTGGAAATACAGGTCTGAAGAACTGCACTTTCTGGAGGATGGAAGGTTGCTGTGCGACCAATCTCATCATGAGGGCCTTTCTTATTAGCTTTTATCATACACAACTCTCTAGCTGACAGAGAGAGAGGGGGAAAGAACAGATCTGAAGGCAGAATTGGTCCTTACTTCAGTAAAAACTAAGATGTCAGACTTTCTATAATGGAAGCTAATCATTACCCAGCAAAGCGGTACACTTAGAGGTTGGTTTCTCATTTTTAGCTTTGGTGTAATGTTCCTGAAAGCTAATGGCATCTATAATGTTGTTGCCGATTTGTTTTGCTGTATGAAAGCAAGCAGAAAATAGAATTGCTGTATGTAGGAGGCAAAGATGTTTTTTTGTGTAATGAGCAATGTGCTGCAGGAAGAAAAGACTGCCACAGTAAACCTGCAGTCCCCGTGAAAGCCTGGATTTAATCATGGGGCTGACTACTTGTGATCTTGGAAAGGCAAAGCATCACCTGGGTGTCTGAACACGACGTGATTTGGGAGGCAGGGATCCAAACAGCCTCTCTCACGCCTTCCAGCACACCCTGCTGTAAAGCTGTGCATGCCCCGAATACAAGCAAAGCTGAGCACAGCCCTTTGCAAACAGCCCCCACGCCATTGTCTGGGCTGCACAAGGGGGCTGATGGCTGTGATCTACCTCCTCCTCACTGCATGCACATTGCCTGACCCCACCAGCCGGCACTCGGGCACCCGGAGACCGGGGGCTGAGGCTCTGCGGAGCACTGATCCCAGAGTCCAGGTTGGGCTCTTGCTCACGCAGCTGGTATGCATCAGTGCTCCTCCTCCCTGAGCTTTCAGCAGTTTCTTGATGTGGCAGAGGCTGCAGCTTCTGGATTAACACACAGCACCATCCTGTGCTACAGGTGCTGTGTCCCCACCAAGCACTGCCCTTCTCCATTGGCACCTTGTCCACTTGGGACAGGCGACTGGGAGAAGTGCATGGCAGTCATGGTGGTGAAACTAATTACCAGCTATCACAGATTATACACCAGAGCAGCACAAATCATGGAAGGTGGCAGGGGAAAGAAGTGCACAAAGTAGTTGGATTTACCTGGCTTCTGAGGGCTCTGAGCACCCTGAGGTGGAGAGCTGCCGTGGTGAGACAAGCTGGAGAGGCAAGAGCACAGAGTGGTGAAGGGGGCCACAGGAAGGATAGGAGCCAGGAAACTGGGGTCCTGATTTGAGCAGAGGAGAGCAAGAGATATGAGAGGAGGGGATGGATATAGCATTAGGGCCTGGTAAAGGAAAGGACAGAGGAATGGGGAATACAGCTTCTAGAAAAAAGTTTAGCAGCGCCAATGAAGTAACAGAGTATTTTATTTCACTTCTAGAAAGGTGAGAAGGAGCTCAGCCTCATGCTGTTAAATAGCAGATACCACTCTTGGGATTTGCCATGGAAAAATGCTCCAGCCTTAACATTTAGTTAAACTCCTGATGCTCTCTAGCTGCACTGCCCATTTCATAGCTTGTGCACCTTTCACTGGGAACTGTGTTACTGTCATTTAAGGTACCAAACCCAGGGGTGTCGTGGGGGAAGAAACCCACCTTTTAAGATCATGCTCTGTTCAGTTTCATGGATGACAGCCGAGACTTTGAATACAGGAACATACCTCAGAACTACTTACTTGGGGCCAAACAAACCTCCCTTCTGCTAAGTTTACTAGAAGCTTTGATGTGCTCATATAGCAGCAAATGTCTCTCAGAAGGCACATAGATGGGAGGGCAGCTGCTTGCCTGTGTGTGTGAGAATGCGCTGGTGGTTGTGCTGGTCCTGGCTCCCACACAGATGTGCTGGCACACCAGAGATGCACGAGGGGACGCGGTGCTTTGCCAGCCACCGCTTTCTGTGCTCCGCAGCCGCTGCTTTGGCTCCAGTTGCAGAATTGCCATGGCTCGGCTGAACCCTCCCTGCAGCGGAGCCGGGCACAGCAGGAGCCATCAGGTCTGTGACCTGGTGACAGTGACACACACGTGTCATGAACATTAGAAAACTCAATATTCTAACTGCAGTTATTTGGAGGTTTTGATCAAAACAGATACTGAACAACTGCATCCACTTGATTAATAGCAAACACTACAGGAACAGACGCTAACATTAATCTTCCATTTTACTGTATCAAATGCATATAATTATTCATCACTGATACTATTTATATACCCACGTACTGCTAAGTGAAAGAATGCTTTCATCCTGGTTTTATCGTTTCTAGATTAAATCACAGTTTTTTCCATTTCCTCCAGTCGGCAGCTCAGCCCCACAATTTTCTCTCCAAATGACAGACAATTCTTTTAAGCACATTGAATTATTTTTTCCAGGTGGTGGTTCATTTGCAATTAAATGTTACTCTTTCATGCTGCGCAGTAGTACAGCTGTAGCACACAAAGAAAGATGACAACTTTAATATTCCAGCTAACTTGGAAAACAGGATTTAAACAGAAGAAATTCAGAGGGTTACTTATTCAAAGTGAGCACAGGCACCCAGTGCCCCTTTATCCTCATGAGAGGATGTAGGGAGCACGGGGAGGAAGGACAGGGTGAGCCCATGGCAGCCTGAGCGAGGCTGCAGAGCAGACTGAGCCATGGACAGATGTGACAGGCGACAGCTGCACAGTGGGGTGACTGTTCCCAAAGCAGCTTCAACCCACCCAGCCTCCAAAACCAAATCAGCACTGGAAACTGCGATTGTCACTGTTATCCATAACCTGTCGGTAGTTACCTCCATTCCTCTTGCACCAGCCAAGGCTCTGGTCTCCCAGTGAGCAGAGTGAGGTCTACAGCTGGCAGGTTAAAGACAGGCATCACCTCTGCATGAGCAAACACTGAGAGGAGGTGTGAGGGGAAGGTGAGGAAGGTATCTGGTACCAAAGAGGCCTCTCTGCTGGCACTCAGCACCCACCTCATCAGCTGTAAGCCCAAGTACATACTCACCAGCATTTGGCTACAGTGACAAAATGCCCTTTGATCCAACAGAGACTTCAGTACCCTAATATTAAAATGGATGATTATTTCATACAAAAGCTTTCTGTTTCGTCTACTTTCTCTATACAGGGTCAGTTAAAAAACAACATTCATGTGAAAACCAGAGGAAGGTCAAATTAACCTCTAGCAATAATTATAGAAGCTCATTGGATAGAGTCCAGCCACATGCTCACTCAGGTGCTGAGTGAAACTCGCACAGATGGGTCAAAGATAAAAAGTCCAAGATATTTATTTGATAAATGTAGAGCAAATAGCTCGGGTGCGTTCATGTGGTGGGACTGCATGCACTGAAGTACCAACATGTCACAAAAATCACATCCTGTAACTTTGCAAACCTGTAACAATCAGGAAAGGCATCACTACTAGTGATTAAAGCAAAATAAATCATGGAATCAGTGAGGTTAGAAAAGACCTGTAAGATTATCAAGTCCAACCATTAACCCAGCACTGCAAAGTCCATCACTAAACCATGTGCCAAATCCACGCTGATGAATTGAATCTGTCTTGTTAGTCCTTAGCTGATGCTGCTTAGTCTAACAGTGGAACAACAGTGCCTCCCAATGACAAAAGCATAACTCTTTCAGGGTCATGTATTTATTTGTCACTGTCTCATTTTGCTTTTCTCTGATAGCTTCTGCATTATTTTGACCGCAGCATCTCAAGGGATCTCTCTGCCAAGAAAGCTTTAATATTGAACTTCAAAATTAAAAGCCTAGCAAAGACCCAGCACAAGATATCCCCTGCCAGAATGTTCTGTTCTGAAATTGTAAGCAAAAAAACCTCAGTGACAGCAAAACCTGAGACATGGATGTCTGAGACCCCAAGGATACCTGGAAATAGTGCTGGAAGTGTTCCTGTTACTGCAGCCATGACTATATGTAATGATCAGTGTTACACATAATGTTTCAGTTAAGCACATAGATACTAATTTCTTAAGTGCTTGTGAAAATTATTCACCAAATAAAATTAACCTTTCTCCTCTTCTCTCCTATTCTGAAACAGGTCCTGATTATTTCAGTTCCAAGAATCTTGCACTGCAAGCCCAGAAAAAGATCCTGAGTAAAATGGCAACCAAAACCATGGCTAACATGCTCATCGATGACACAAGCAGTGAAATCTTTGATGAGCTGTACAAAGTAACGAAGGAACATACGAGAAACAAAAAGGAAGCCCATAAAATTATGAAAGACCTGATTAAAGTGGCAATAAAAATTGGGATCCTGTATCGAAATAATCAGTTCAACCACGAAGAGCTGGAAATCGTAGACAAGTTCAGGAAGAAGCTGAACCAAACTGCGATGACAATTGTCAGTTTCTATGAGGTAGAGTACACTTTTGACAGAAATGTTCTTGCAGAACTTCTGAATGAATGTAAAGACCTTGTGCATGAACTGGTAGATCGACACCTGACACCAAGATCCCACGGGCGCATCAACCACGTCTTCAACCACTTTGCAGATGTGGAGTTTCTAACTGCCCTGTACAGTCTTGATGGGGATTGTCGGCCGTACCTCAAAAAGATCTGTGATGGCATCAACAAACTACTTGATGAGAAGGTCCTTTGAAACTACGCTCCAAACCAAGAAGACAACCAAAAACTTCTCTCTAGAACTGGCCACCCTTCATGAGCCACGGTGAGCAAGTGAGCTTCCTTCCCACAGGCCTCTTAGTACAGTCTCCAACAAGGGCCAGAAAGTGCTCACCAGGCTCATGATGAACTTCAATCAGAAAGCTATCAATTTTAATGTTTTGTTCCAATAACTTGGTCTTTTCCAAGAAGCAGAGCGAACAAGGCTGATGATATTGTCGAGAAAGAGATTGCTACACACCATGATCTTACTACCTTTGTGTACAAGGCTGAACATGGGAAAAGAAAGTAAACTCCGGTGCATGGCTATGTAAAATTAGACAGGTGAAGGCTAAAGAGGAACGCATGGAATTTACCCCCGGGCCCTTGGTGCATATGTTTTTATTATCTCCATGAAAAAGCTTAGACAGAAAGTAGGGCTGTAATGGATTAAGCTCATTCCTTTCAAAAGGATCAGGAATCAATATGAGAAGCCATCTCTGACTGTGCATGGTATTTAAGAAGTCTGATAGGAGAACAGCAAATAATACAAACTGAGTAGAAGTGGGAGAAATTTAAAGAACTGCTTGATGAAGCAATGTTTTCATTAGAGAGTTTTGGTTCATACCTGCTAACATAGGGAAGGTTTCATTTTAAATTGGAAAAAGCAGCTCAACATTTCGAGCTCAGAGGCAATCCGAAAACTAGATAAAGCAGTACATCCGTTTCCCCACTCTCAGGGCTTGTGTATTTGGTAACATCAGGCAAGTTTAGGCCAAAGGTTGTGCTGCTCTTTGTGCTCTTACTGTTTTGGCTGACAGAACAAAACATTCGTTGCGAGGATTTTGAAACTGCACTTGTGAAGAGGAACATGATGAAGACACCAGTGGAGTGACACCAATGGAGCAACACCAATGGAGCGACGTTTTCATTCCCTATCCTCAAAACATTCAACCTAGCTAAAACGCTCAGTTTAACATGTCCACGACATTAATTTGTGCCTACAGTAAACCAGGTGTGAAAAAGGAAGCCCCACTCATGCTTGCAGTGCCGTCTGAGGGTAGTGCCTCTGCAGGAGCCTGAAGAGAACAGTCTTAGCCACTCCATGGAGCTTCATGAATGATTTCTTCAGAATGTTGTCAGTGACTTGGGTTTTTTTCCCCCTTTTTTTTTAATGAAATAGACCAATGACTTCAATCTGGAAACATTTGGCAAAGAAATATTAGTTTCTGTTCAGTTTTGTTAGGATTAAGGGAGAATGGGAGCAGATAGACAAAGCTTGGCACTTCTAGGATCCTGGAGCTGGTAAGGTGCTGACAGTAAAGGAAGTGTGTTCAGAAATCTATCCTTGCCCTCAACATGTTATCATCCAGCCTCACTTCCATCTACTGGCATTTCAGGGTCATGTACCAGCTCCTTTTAGTTGACACAGATAGCAGATAATCCCATTATCTGGAGATAACACCTTCTATATCACGTGTAATACAAAGATGCATATGTTTGAAAATTGACAAAGACAAGAAAATACATTTGAAAGCCATTTCTCTCTACAGAAAACTTCCAGTGTTGATAATTTATTACTCTAGGATTAAAAAAAGCCATGTTTCTCATTTAAATTTTTAAACACTATGATGGTAGAGAAAACTTCAAAATTTTTCTTCTGTCTTTCCTCACCATAACTGTATTTTATCTCTTACAAGAACAGTTCTGACTATCACACCTTTATACAGAGAATACACATACCCATATCATACTCACTTGGATTGTGCTACATGGATTTTTATCTGTTCCCAGGAGAAACCATTCAGAGCATAGCAAAAATGGCAGCACAAGATATTAGCAGAGCAGCTTGCAGCGATGTAAATTTTCCCCTCATCTTTCCTTTAACCATAAAAATTACAGTCAGTGTCAGTGAAGGTGGACAACTCCTTTGCAACACAGCACGGTAACAGAACACCAACATCTGGAGCTGCAAGCTCACCCATTGCAGAGCCATACGTACATGCACCATTAGCTACATTTTCTCCAAGCATGTACTTGTCAGTCGATGCTTTTGCACCGTATTTATTGGATCCAACACTCCTGTCTCAGTGCCCATTTCAGATTTCGTGTGCTCGTTTCACTTGTGGCAAACAAATTTAAGATCTTTTGCTTTTTAAAGCCAGAAGGATTATTTAACATTCAAGATGTCCAAAGGAAAGGGATCTCTGTGACTTTCTGTTTGTGTGTTGCAAGTATCAATATTCAGATTCTGGTATTTTAGACACACCAGCTGAACATCTGTGTTTTATTTATAAATCTGAGTAGCCTTAAGGAAAGAGATGTTTTCAAGTATTTCTCATACTTGCATATCCTGTATCTCCATTGTTTACTTTTGTATTTGTAGCTTGGTATGTAATAACATTGCTAAAATATGGGCAATGTTCAGGTCACCCTAAGTATATGATGTATTATCATATTTGTGGATTAAAAATGTGTGATTACTGCCCTTTTTGCTTCCTTTTATTTATTCTACCATCCAATGTAACCTTAAATTAAGCAAAAGAGAAGGGAATTTGGGTAATCTCAGTTGTCACCTTCTGCAACCTGCATGCTCTTTGATGACCAGATTTTTGTGAAGGCAGGAGTTAGGTAGATGGGTAGTTTAAGGGCTTAAAAGAAAACTGGAAACCCACATTTCTGTGCTATCACACAGATGCAAGACAAACATGCATCAGCAGCAAATGAATTCTGTTTGCCAAAGTTCTCAAGCACTTGAGCTAACAAATTACATTGACTCAATGCGTTTAGCGGTACAGCTCAGTCACCAGGGTTCAGCCTAGAAAATGCACCAGCAGCCTGTGTCAGGGCCAGAGCAGATGGAAAACGCTACCAAGCCCCTTCCTGCAAGTTTTCCATGACGTGTGTAACTCAGTTTAGCTGATGTGATTTAAGTTAGGCAGAAGACACATCCCTGAAAGATTTCAGATCCCTGCCCTAAACACAGAGATGATAGAACCTACTAGAATATTTTAACAACAGCAAGCATATATTCTTCTATCCTTATTCCCAAAAAAGGGCAAAGTGTTTTGGCTGAAAGAGCTCAGGATTTGCAAACAACTGACATAGCAATTATACTGGAAGCAATTAAGAATTGGCACAAAGAGAAAGCTGCCAACTACCTTAAAAGTTTAAAGCAATCTTCCTAAATGGTGTTTTGAGCCACACTGCTGCTAAAACATTGCTGCCAGATTAATTTTATGAATCATATCATGGCAGGACACAATATTCTTTGCTTCATCACTGCCAACTTAATGTAACGAAGAGGAAACTCTCAAGGGAGTGACCACTTCTGGCATCCTAATGAGATTGTACGTGTACCACAGAATAGTACACTGCACTGCACATGTAATCTTATTTGTGTTGGAGAAACATTCCCACAGAAACGTGTATAAATAGCTGACCCTGAAGAGAACCAAGAGGTAAAGCAGAATTAAGTTTTATCACAACTGCAGAAATGCAAAAGCAAGTCTTAACTGGCCTATTTAAGCAGGTCTGCTTCTGTCTTCACATCATTCAATGCCAGAGACAATGCATAGTCTTGCAGAAAAGATAATACAGCTTTTTATGCTGAAAAACTACTAGTGGGACTTTATAAAATGTAAGTACCTTCCCAATATTTAGAAGCCATCAGATAATGTCATTCATGACCTACTTGCAAGTACGTTAGAACCTCAAGATAGTGCCATGCATAACACAAATTTATTCTCTTGAGTCCTTAAAGGATGAGAAGGGATTTGTAATACCTAGCAGAAAGTAATATAACACAACAGCAGATCTGTGTTTAGGCAAAGGTACTGCATCATACTGCCACATTGCACTTCCACCAATTTTCTTACCTAATCACTAGAAATACCTGAAAATGCTTGGTTTAAGCGGGGACAGCCTGACAAACACTTGAAATACGGATCCAGTACAATCACTTACCTGTTGACTCAAAGATGTGCAGAACTCCAAGCTGCCAACGGCAGAGAGCGGTAAACAGTGCCATCTCCTGGTACCGAACGGTTTGGTCCAAAACTCTATTAACCTGCCAGTTCAGAAAGGTCAATATATACTGACTGGCCTCTGGTTGCCCCTCGAATGTGAATTTCTTTGTGCTAAACAAATTACATGCTCTCTTCCTTCTAGCCTATTTCTATGCACCTTATCTCCCTTTCACTGAAAATAGGTTAAACCCCCAAGACCTGGTAAAATAAATGGGAACACCACAGACAGTGAAGATACCTGCTAAAGGATTTTCAATACAGAACTAGATGAAAGAATACTCCTTTGTGCAATTACTTATGCAGCTATATCTCATTTTAGAGACAAATGGATTACAGATCAGAGGGATTCCCAGCACCAAACTGCTGAGGTTCTTCAGGGCCTAAGCTCCCCAGCCAGAACTGCCGTGCCCATACATTCTTATTACGTACCACCAGCCATGCCATGAAAAATACCCTCATAGTTTAGATGAGCTTAGACCACCTTCAATTCAGCAATTACATCATAAAATCCCAACTCCTTCTCAGCACTATAGCAAATGGTGTGTTATGTTAACATTGGACTTAAAAATAAATGCTATTGCTGTCAACTATAAATAACAAGAGACCCTGAAGTCTCTTGAGATGCTTAAAAACAAATTCTACAATCTCGCATTACAAAAAGAGTATTGGGTAACATGAGCTGGCACACAGAACACTGTTCAAAAGATCTGACGTGTACTACTTCGCTCTTACACCTCCAACAGGCTGCAGGACATATCAAACACAATGGATTCAATACTTCTGCAATACATTCTTCATCACTGCTCAGATGCAAACAGAAACAATTAAAAAGGAACCTTGTTCTTAATATGCAGAAGCACTGCTACGTGTGGTAGCAAAGAATATTTAACAAGTATCAAGCTAATTCTTTCTTAATGAAACTGAATTTATTAAACTATAAGAAACACAAAGAAGGTGCTAGATTAAGAAAAACATTTGCTGGGCAATCTAAAAAAAACCCAACACAGGTACAATGCCCTGCAAACTCCTTTATGTGATGTTACAATACAGCACTTTGAATTCGCATATTGATAGCTTAACATACAATATTCATGTGGTGAAAAAGGTTATAAAGAACATTATATGAACAACACAAGGCATTATCGTCTTTTACTGTTCTTTTTAAACACCAGGACATTGAACATCTCATTGCTGAAATGGTTTAAATGCATAGGCCACAAGTATACTTGCATAACACAAGTCTGATTTACCAGCAGGGAAACAGTTTGATCGAAATTATTCCACTATAAATCAGTTTTCATTTATATAAACTGTCTTGGAGTGCCAAATAAACATGAAAGTATGCACAACATTAAGTATATTTACAGGTTCAGTGCACTTTAAATTGCTCAGTAAGAAATTACTGAAACAGCAATAAAAAAGGAGCTTATATTATACTTGTGATAACACAAGTGGCTTGACTAAAACAGACAAACAAACCAACCAACCAACCCACCAAAACCCAAAACTATCAGCACGGTAACCATTCTTAGGATGTTTTTATGAACATTTACCAGAACATTAGCAAAGTAACAGAATACTTTATTTTCCCTTACAACCAGTGCTTATCAGGTGAGGATAACACTGAAACGTAACAAAGAATTTCCTTGTTACTATAAAACACAGACAGAATTCTGCTGTAGAATCCATTTATACCATGTCTGAACTGTGTGTACAATCTCTGATGCTTTTAAATAACAAACATGAGCAGTCATAAATAATATTATAGTTTTCGTTTAGTTTCTAAATAAATTAAGACTGCTGGATTTTCAAGACTGTGAAGTTATTCCAGGAAGGAGACAATCTAGACAGGCACATTCATCACATATGCTGCTCTAGTTTAGATGCCCTATGCCTTACTGCAGTTCCTGGCCATGCACATACAACACAGCCACCTCTCTGCAAGTCAAAGGTTTAAAGAGTCATACTGAGGCTATAAATAATTAGAAGTAAAAAGAAATGAAAATTTCTTCCATGTGAATTTTCATGGACATGAAAGGGGATCGGCCAGATTAAATTTAAAGGATTGACTGGAGAGTCATGAACATGTCCACTAGCCAACTACCAACTAGTCAACATGTCCACAGACATCCATCTCCAGCTCAGGTATCTCAGACTTGATCCACATTAAACTTAATCCTTAGACATACACAAATATTTAGTGACTGTCACAGGAAAGGGAATGTGACTGAAGCATGAGACAGGAAGAACTGCAGGCTGGAAGAACTGCAGGCAGGAATTAACCTGAAGGGCCTTAGATCATCACCGAGGAGATGCTTCCATACAATTTCTCATGCCTGCCTCCTGTCACAAAACTACTTAGCTGTTACCACTTAAGTAGTTAATACCAAAGATCATGAGAACTGTGTTGCTCACTAAAATCTTTTAACTGTTTTCCAAAACATGCATTTGTTGCTACATAACTTACTTTGTACTACCACCAATATGGGTCTTGCTGCCGGCAGTGCTTAAAAATAGCTTTACAAAAATTATCGAAATAAAATCAGATGATCCTCATAACTGATCAACTCTGACCTCATAATGAAGATATGCTTTCTTTAAAATCATATTTAAGAGCTTGCTGTGAGGAATAATTGTAGGCATCTATAAAAGCTGCATAATAAAAATAAATACTTTTAGTAATTTACAACAAAATTAAGAAATATACATTTCACTTAAACAGGTAACAATACTTTAATGGATTAGTTGTTCGTCACTGTACAGTCCTGAGCATGTTTTTGCAGGCGTAATTTAGGTCATCAGTCTTCCCCCACGTCCACATGACATATGCCAGCTGGAAGAGAGCTTTTAATACTTCTGAGAAGAAGTATCTTAATTTAGCTTTGGTAATTATCTGTGCAACTATATAAATCTTTGATTTGCTTTTCACACACCAAATAGATTAAGTCAGGCACTATTGTTATTAAGATTCCTCCATTACTTTTTGACATTGATAAAGCAAACCATCCGGAAGAGCAGAACAAGGCGATCTGAACCACAAAGCCAGCATCCCCGAGTGAGTCCGACAGTGCAGCAGACAGGGCACAGATGGAAGTAGCTGGCATGCCAGTATTCCCTCATTACCTTAAAACAAGAGACCAGAGAAAAAAGTAAGTAATAATTAACAATAGCTATACCCTAGTTGACAGAAAATGTATGCTTTTCTCAAACTTCACTTCCACTGTTCTTTGCTACTCTTACCCCTACTCTTCTAATGTCACCAAAAATCATGCATCATGCGTGCAATCCCAGCTTCAGATTTCTGATATAGCTTAATTCCCATTTTTTTGTCCTGTCCAAAACTTTTCACAGTGCAACAGTTTTCTCCCTTGTAAAATTTAATGTCTTCTGTACACTTGTACCTTTACATTCACGTAGATCCCTGAGAAAGGCAAATCAAGTCCATAGGACAACACTCTTGTGTTTACTATGCTCCTAAACATTCCCTGCCTTAAACTGTTAGATACCTGCTTCCATGCGCTTGCTTTCTTGGGCAAATTACAGGTTCAAAGCAACCTTACAGTATACTTTCACTCACCTATAACATCAACTATATGGAGTTTCAGCTTCTGCTGCAGTGTATTCAGAGCAGCTGAAAGGGAATCTTGAGATGAGGACATTTTTATATTCTGTTTCACATCATTGGAAAGGGACAACCACAGCTTCCCAAAGTCTTCTGTAGTCACTTCCATTGGCCTAAAAATAAGTTTACCTCTAAGTTATCATAGCAAAATAAGAGATATTATTATTCAGCATATATTTAGTATCCCAAAAAATAGTATCTGGAAGCAACTGGACAACAGAGAAAGCAATAAGCAAATAAAGATTAATTTAAACAAATCCCTCCTACTCCCAGCTTAACACTCCTACTCCCAGCTTAACACTTTTTAAAGTTTGCATTCCTTGCTTTATATTTCCAAACTAAAAAAAAAACAAACCAAATGCATTATTCTATGTCAATGGAATTCACCAAAGTGAATGGCCTTGAGATATCGGCCCACTGAACAAGACAAAACAAGTTCAGCGAGAGGTAGGAAAACAAGGTGGATTTCACTATAAAACAGAAGTCTACTGGAAAAAGAAAGCTTGCCTTTTCTACTCCTAAAATAAGTGCAGCGTTAAAAAATGGAAATAATGAGCTTTCTTCTTCCCCTGCAAAAGTTGTCAGCCTTTTCATATAATGTATGTATATTCAAAATCACTTATTTCAGTTTGACGTTTATATTATGACATAGTTAAAACAGCATGCCCTTCTGTTCACTCAGTTCTGTTAGCCCCCTCAAAAACACATTCTGTATTTGAAAAGACTATGCTAACCTGCAGCTACTGTCAATATTCTCACCAGATCTGTACCTCTTGGAACTTTGCCCCTTTTTTGTTAAGTTTAGAAATAACCATTTACTATCTTTAGCAATCATCTCAATTAGATTAAAACTAGCTGCTCAAGATGAAGCCTATTTCATAATCAATTCCCAAAACATTCTGCCCTTGTCTAATACTTGTTTGAGTACACACATTTTTAAAAACTGCAGGTTATTTTATTTACCGGATGAAGTCCATCAAAGATAAAGTGACTGAAAAGTCAAGGCGCGTTTCCATGTCCAACTGGTAACTAACAGAGCCAGAAAGAACTCCCTGTGTACAGATTTTGTCCATCCACACGCATTTCTGGCAATGTTCCACACTTTCAGCTTCAATTGCAGGAAACTGATAGCTGGGACTCTCCATAATCTGTATCATTTTTTTAAAGGAATATAGAATATAAGTCTTGCTGTCAAGTTGTGTAAGTGGCTAAGATATAGCTATAACATTGTGTAAGTGCTTTTTATTTCAATTAATTTGTCTCAGACTATTTGGCAAGCGAACAGCACTACCATTTCTCAGTACTCATTAAGCATAAATCAATCATTAACATCTACAAAAGTCCTATGAGAATTAAAACACTGGAGAAACCAATCTCTTTCTGCCAGTTGGCTTCCCCTCTGCCCCCTGAATGATCACTCAAGAAAGATCAAGAACTAATGACCAAGAATCGGGATTCCGCAGTTCAGTCCCTAAAAAACTAATAAACAAGAACCCTAAATAAACTAAGATATATCATTGCAAGATATAGGCTTTACAGGCCACCCAGGGAGGTTGTGGAGGCTCACTCTCTGGAGACATTCAAAATCCACCTGGACGCATTCCTGTGTAACTGCTCTAGGTGGTCCTGCCTTGACAGGGGTGTTGAACCAGACGATCTCCAGAGATCCCTTCCAACCCTAATGATTCTGTGATACCCCAAGCTATATGCTAAAAGCAAGAAGCTGAGAAATCATCCCTAATAACAAGGATAATTTCAAGATCACTCAGAATTTCCTGGCCTCTCCAAACAAACTAGTAATACAGATTCTCTCCGTGAGAGTGATCTTTGTGGAATTTTAAATGAATTACAAGCAAAATCTAGACATAAGATACCCACTTTCTATCAATGCCATGACAGGATTGATTCAAACCAGAAATAGGAATGGAGGAGACTTCATAACCAATTAGTGGTTCCTTGGTTAAGTAAATCCTAGGAGAAACATTCTGCCTAATTCTCTTTAACTAGTTACCACTTGTAATGGTATCTAACACTTCTAATTCTGTGCTTCTTTCAGCAAAACGCATGGATAGTCACACCAATAGGCAATTCTTAAAGCGCTTTCCAATTACTTAAGTGAAGTTTCAATCAAGACTATTACATGCTTTTACCAACCAGTTACATCCCAGATGTAGCCAGTGTCAAATAATAAACTGACTGACTCCTCTTCACTACCAACTGACTGCATGAGAACAAGAATGCAATATGACTGATGTCTTTGGAAAAGTAAACAAATAAACAAAACTTGAAGTAAGCTTACATAAATTTTATGTGAAGGAGGAAACTGCATCATGTCTGCCTATCGTAGATACAAATGAATGCACAAGCCTAACAGTCACACCCAGACAAAGTTACACAATGATTTCTCTGGCAACTCTGGTTATATCATCCTGAGTATGACTGGTTAGGTTTGCATTCAGTCTTAAAGACCAGGAAGATGATTAATTCAGAACTGCAAAATCATATATATTTGTTATATGAAAGCAAGCTGTATTAAGGTTAATTAAAAAAGTGAGATGCTAACTTTTATACCAAAGGGCATTAAGTGCAATATTGAGATTTCTTTCACTACCCTTTAGGATGTATGTAATAACCATACCACAGGCTTTATGGATATACATTGGGAAAAAGGCATGGTTATTACATTAAAACAAATACTGCACACTTAAATGCAAGCAAAACCAAGAAGGTCCAAGTGAATATGAAATAGAATGGAAACAAAGGTTCTTACCTGAAAATGTTCTGCTTCTTCAAATGATAAGTTCACAGTATTAAGTACCACAGTGGTTTTATTGGAAACAAAAACAGTGAGCAACAGAGAGTCATCTGTCCACACCTTACATAAATACAGAGCTAAGGCATCACTCTGACAGAGTTCCATTACTTCAGAGTGAGTGAGCTCTTCTAGCTCTTCTGGTAAGGAAGGGACTAACGGTGTTTTAGTGGCACTTTCACATTGAGCACTTGGAGAAGGCTGAAAAACTTCAATATTACTATCAGCAAACAGAGACGACTGTGACAGCCTATTATCTGAAAGTCTCTCATCCAGCCCGGATTTTCTGAGGGACTGAGGCATTTCAAATGCTAAATTATCTTCTACAATATCTGAAGAAGACAGAGAGGCTTTCCTTAACCTTGTGTGCAAACTTTCCTCAGAATCTTCCATATTAATAGGTCTTGTATCCAGTAAGGGACCAAAATCTGAAGCAGCACTATTCTGGAAGTCTGACGCCTCCTCACTGTGTTCAATTTCATTTATCTTCGATCTTCTTTTGAACTTCTGAGTAGCTGTTTCTGCTTTCCCCATCTGGAAAGGGAAAAGATTAAAAACCGAAAAAAGGGTGGGCAAGTTTCTAGCAATCAGCTGTGTTACTGTTAACAGCATGAAACAGAGTGAGCAAGGACAAATGAAGACTAAGGAATCAATTCAGATGACAAATATAAATAGATTCCAAACATTTTAATGGATCTAGGAATGGGCTTCTGTTGTATTTTTTACAGTGTATTGGATCAGCCTGTAATGGCAGATTAAATCCAAGTTTTCTAAGAGATAAATTAAAAGCTCCTATTAAAAAGCAAGCAGAGGTAATTTTCCGGTTAAACCAGTGATAAAACCCAAGATTTGAGCTGGCTAATATGATAATGCCAGTCTTAAACAGATTACCTAACAGTGACTTCTTTAATGTTCTGCATATTACCCTACATAAATAATAAATGGTCTTGACATAGGGTATCAAATTCCAGCCTTACTGACAATGTCAAAAAACCTCCACAACATTGGGTCAAGGAATAGTTGTTAGGGAAAACCAAAATTAACTCTCAAAGGACAACTTTTTAAAAGGGGAGTTCTAGTCACTGAATCAGATCTGACCCAGAAGTTGCTTGTCAAGTAATATCCAACCTGTTTCAGGTTCTTAACACATCATCAGATTACAAAAGTAATTTCAATAGTTTTTCAGTGACTCGGGAGGTTTTTTTGCCCTGTTTTACCAAAATATTCATTTCATCTCCACTTGCATCTATAACTGCAAATAAGGCAATATATAAACTTTAAACTGGGTAGTCTCAAAAGAACCACTTACCAGACTGACACCAGCATTTGATCCTAGCCCAATAAACAAAGTTGATGCTAACTCCTGCTTCTCTTTGTCTTCTTCAGAGATGCTGGCAACTTGATCAGGCCGCAATGCAGGAGGGTCACCCACCTGTCCTGCTGACAAGGTGCCACAAGAAGCAGTTTGTGGCTCTTTTTCTTTCCCTTCTTTGCTTTCTTTCTTTGGAAGGTAGCCTTCTTTACCCCACAGCTTGCGTACACCCTCAAGTTTCAGAGTACTCGTCCTAAAAAGGTTAACAAAAAGCAGGATCAACCACATGAACATCACATTCATAAAAATATACCAACATTCTACTTCAAACACCATTCACAACTTTGGTACTTTGATAAACACAGCAAGTAGCAGAATATACACTTTTGCAGGCTCGTCCTTCATTACCTTTAGAACACCCCACAAATGCAAACCTGGACGAGGCTATATAATCCTAAGTACAGAGCTATCCTAAGACAGTATTATACCCCTACAGCCACTTGTAGACTGTGTTTGCCAACTCCAGAGTTTCAGATTACATTTATTACATATTTGAATATTTTTTTAGAAGTGAATACACAAAACATGGTCTGTGAGTCTCTAAGTGTATTTAAATAGTTCTACTGCTGATTCCTTAAAAAAATCATTTATATACAGGACTGAAAACTAGGAGAAACCTGGAAAGTATTCTTTTCCTATGGAAAGTGTTCATGTTGTCAGATACCCTGAATTCTAGCAGAAGTTAGGTCAACAGACACAGGCTAAATGCTGCAAGTCCTACACCTAAAACCCTCACACATATTTTCTTACACAAGCTGATTGAAGAATCTTAATTCCAAGATTTCTTGCACACCAATTTACCACCAAAGTATAAATAAAGTTATTAATTTGTATAAGACTGTGGATATGGAATTTATCTGCAGTATTCTAAAACTTAGAGTATCTTACACTGCAAATCTTAGCCTGACTTTTATCTGAATGAGTTTCCTTAAAAGGCCCATTACTGTAAGCCCTTAAAAGTAAGCATAGCTTGTAAGAAAAAGAAAGAAGCCAGAGAAAAAATGCTTAATCGTGTCATCATCAGGTAATCCTGTCCCAATTTTACTGCATTAACCATTAGTTAATGAGTTAGTGAAGAAAGCGGAAAAACATTCTAATCACGTTAGCTTTTTTCCTAGTTATTTCCAAGCAGATGCCATCTGAATTTCTTCTTACATAACAGAAGTTTCCAAGTTTAACTATTCTTTTTAGTTCCATGTAATGAAGAAGCCAAAGACACATGATACTGACAAGAACAGAAGCTTACGTGTACTTCATTTCAATCACAAATTAACTCACTCTTTATGCCCTGTCTCAGCACTATTCACAGATGTATCAGAACCAAAAGATAAGCCAGTAGGGGACTGTCTGCCGGTGATGCCAGATGAGGACACACTTGAAGCAAATGACAATCTGTAAGGTTCAAAATTCAGAGCTGCAAGACAGACAGAATCTTAAAATTACAAGAGGCATACAAAGGCAAAAAGAAAAATCCATTTTCTGAAAAGAGATACTCTGTACAGCTGCACTTTTCAGGCTTCCCATTCAGGATCCTCTATCCTCATAAAAAAACAGACATTTCTGCTCTCAGGTAAGATTTTTAGGCAGAGGATTTCTCTAAAATGTATTAATTTGATATTTGATTTTAAATACTGGAATTAAGACAAAAACTAGTGACTTTACAGCATATCACTAAAACATCTGCCAATGCTTACAGTATTTGTAGACAGAAGTACTGTATTGGATCTAAATAAGTGAGCTTTTCAATTTCTAAATAACATTTTGAGTCCACATCATTATGCCCATACATCACTGTCTGCTTTGCAAACATACTTGACACCTTGGGCAAGAAATTGTTTTCACTAATACTTGCAGTCAGGGTTCAGAACTAGCTACTTTTGATACGCTTTACGAATTGAAGGGTAGTTTGAATAACTTCTAAAAATGGTTTTGGAGTAGAACATAAACAGTCATCGTTACGTACGAAGCACAGCGCAGACTCTCCTTTGCAGCCCTGGAGCTATCAAGGGGTACAGTCCCTTTCCCTCATCTCCACCCCAGCCTTACACTTTCTTCTTCCCAGCAAAGTGAAGCAGCAGGGCAAAGGTGTTGGGCATCTGAGATGAGAGAAGTCTCCTAATAAAGGAGCAGGCAATGCTAAGGAAGTGTCCTGTCCCATAAGGAAGCAAGAAGGAACGGAGATCCAATGGGCTTTGTGATAAATAGCATCCACATAAAGATATTCAAACTCTACCAACCCATAAATTTAGTCATCTATAAACAAAGAATTGCAATAAATTCAGTAGACTCCCCTTCTAGAATACTTATGAATATTCCACTTCACCTATATCTAACCTCCTAAAATATTTATGAGCTAGTGGAGGATGGTGATCAGTACCTGTGATTACTGAGAAAAAAACAGCAATTCATAATCTGGCTCCTACAATGGCTTCCCTGCAAAACTGTAACACTGTAAACATCAGAATGCTAAACAGATGTTCTTCAGCAGGAAAGACCGCTAATTTCACTCTGAACACCTCACTATGAAGCACTGTTACAAGCTCAATCTGACAAACAGCAGGTTATATCCCTCACTGGGTTTATGTGCATGCAAAACCAGTGCAGAACATTTAGTTTGAACGTATCTGACCTTGCCCAACATTTCCCCACCACAATTTTCAGTTTTCTAGTAGGCTTAAATTGGAGGTAGCAGATGTAATACTCTCAATTTATCTCAGAAAAGTGTTAAGTTCTGCAAGCTACAGATGCAAGCAAATGGACAATATTATTTACTGAATGCATTAACCTGCAGAGTCAAAATAATTTTTTAGAAACAACAACTTAATTGGAGATAATGCAATGTACAAGGCTCATTTTTCTAATTCCTCAACAGTAAAGCTGAGAAATGGTTTAGAAAAGCTTTCCAACCTCAAAGTGAATTATTGAGTGTCTAAAAGAAACCCTTATGTGACAGGCTATGATAAAGTAAACGAGTATTTCTATGGGGAAAAAAAAAAAAGGCCAAAATAAAAATAGGCAATTTAGTTAACATCTTGGGGTATTTTTAAATAAATAAAAGCACATACTGCTGTCTTATCTGTACCTACACTAGGTAAGAAACATAAGATCTGTGTCATAAAATAAGTTCCAATGGTTAATGCTGCAAACTATGATTCCACAGTCAAGACTAAGTGCTCAGTATAGCAAAGTTAGGAACCCTTTGCTTTCACGTTAATAATCCCCATAAATTTCAAACCCCATAGATTAGCAGAAATTGTTGTAAAGCATTCTCATCTGCAGAACAGCAACCTACAATAAATGAACAGTTACATACACCAGGCAGACAGATGTGGAACTTGCGCTTAGCTAAATCTACAGACAAGAGATGTATAAGATAACATTACTTTAAGAAATAATACTAACTATACACTTAGGATTGTTAATTAACACCTATCAGGCAATTTACCAGCTATTTAATAAATGCAGTAAACCAGGTGTCACCTTTTTCCTGAGAAAGTTTCTCCTCTTGTCTCTGATGATGAGGCTTATATGGTGCTGCACCACGACCAAGTCCCTCAGCCACAAACCCATCCAGAAAAGATAAGGAAGCATCTACCTACACAGAATTAAGAAAGGTGAGAAAACAGAAGATAAACCAGCACATGAAGTCATAATTCTGTTAAAAGCTACTCCAGGTTACTAACTGAACACAATGGTTCTTTATCTTTCGGTATAGAACATTAAGATGCATCGAATATGCCTGAAAAAGCATGTTTCTGAAAGCTCACTGTAAGCAGACTAAAGACTGGCACCACTCAGAACTGTCAAGTATAATTCATTTGAAAACACTTTCTTATCAAAATATCCAACCTCCCAACCACAAACTGGTTCATGAGGAGCACACATTGCAGCTGTCTTACCACCATGTCACTGCAGCTAGCGTCAAATGGAAGCAAGTTTTTCATCAGTGCTTTGTCCTCACACAGATTCTTCAATTCAAAGGCATATTGTCTCATGCAAGTATCTAGCGAGTTACTGAATTCTTGGATTATTTCATCAACTGCTTTTGAACAGGAGGTACGTGATGCTATCTTGGTGACTGTAGCCATTATCCACACTTTAGTTTCAGAAGTAACAAAAGTCTTCTTCAGCAGGCTGTGCAGCTTTGTCAAAATAACTTCTGGGTCAACATCTGTAACAAGGCTAGAATATTCCCCCACCACCTATTCATGAAGAACAGACAAAAGAGGCAGTTCATCACACAGAGCAGTGCTTTCAGTTTTAAATAGAATTTAGTACTAAATACCAACATAATAAAATCCACCTCACATGCAAGAAACTACTATTTAAACATGTTATACGTTTATTTCTTTACCATTTTGTGGCTTAAGTGCCCAAGGTTTAAAATTACTTGTGTGTTTACCTCAGCAGACTCCAACTTTTAGTTTCTTAAAAATCAAATCACTGTATGGAAAAGAAAGTTAAAAATAGCAATTAGGGGACTTGGGGGTGCTGGTTGATGAGAAAATGAACATGAGCCGGCAGTGCGCTTGCAGCCCAGAAAGCCAACCACATCCTGGCCTGCATCAAAAGGAGCATGACCAGCAGGTCAAAGGAGGTGATCCTGCCCCTTTACTCTGCTCTTGTGAGACCTCACTTGGAGTACTGTATACAGTTCTGGTGTCCTCAACATAAAAAGGACATGGAACTGTTGGAACAAGTCCAGAGGAGGGCCACGAGGATGATCAGGGGACTGGAGCACCTCCCGTATGAAGACAGGCTGAGAAAGTTGGGGCTGTTCAGCCTGGAGAAGAGAAAGCTGTGTGGAGACCTCATAGCAGCCTTCCAGTGTCTGAAGGGGGCCTATAGGGATGCTGGGGAGGGACTCTTCATTAGGGGCTGTAGTGACAGGAAAAGGGGTAACGGGTTAAAACTTAAACAGGGGAAGTTTAGATTGGATATAAGGAGGAAATTCTTTCCTGTTAGGGTGGTGAGGCACTGGAATGGGTTGCCCAGGGAGTTGTGAATGCTCCATCCCTGGCATTGTTCAAGACCAGGTTGGACGAAGCCTTGGGTGATACGGTTTAGTGTGAGGTGTCCCTGCCCACGGCAGGGGGGTTGGAACTTGATGATCTTAAGGTCCTTTCCAACCCTAACTATTCTATGATTCTATGATCTGCTCATACTGCTGCCTCTCCCTTGGGTGGAAGCTGAAGATTACGCAGGTGCCAGACAACTCCAGCATCACGCTTGGCCAGTCACCTGCAAGGCTAAAAATGCATTTCACAACCACATCTGGCCTAGTTCTGATGAAGTCAGCATGCAGTCAGATTCATGTGGCTGCTAAACCATTCTAATAGTCACCTGCCTTAAAGGGAGCAAGTCAGTTTTTTCCACAAACTATGACTCGGGCACAGGAAGAGGTCACTAAAAATCGATGTTGGCATATTATCTTGACTTCAAGTCAAAACAGAATACTCATAACTATAAAGAAAACAGTTTTAAATATCTATTTAAAACATCACCACTTTGACAGTTTTCTCGCATTTGTGTATTCAATTTTGACTGTGTGTCTGCCATACCCAACTCATAACTTGAAGAAATTTCTGTGGATACAGTGCATCATCCTCTTCTAGTAATGCCAAGTAAGACTTGACTGCATATATCCGTAGTTTATCATCTTCGTTTCCATCATCAAATCCTATACAGAAAACAATACACATTTGCCTAAAATGCAAATAACACATCCCATCAAATATTTCAAAGTTCAAGAAAAAAAAAAGCAAGATGATCAAGAAACACATCTAATTTTTCAGAGCATTCATGGAATGACTCACCTTCAGCTAATAGCCTCAGAAAGTTGTTTGGGATATCCATATGCACAAGATCACCTCCAACGGAAAACACTGCATTCATTGTTTGGATGAACCACTCATTGTTAGGGGCATATGTGTCCAGATGTTAAGGAATTGAGTGCTAAGGCATAAGTTTTTCTCTTTTTTTAGTGTGTTTCCTAAGGAAACAGATTTTCCACAACTAAGGTACTGTCTTGCTCCCCACAATAAGTTGGAGGCCTATTGGTCAAATATCAGCTCAATCTAACTGAATATGAATTATTCCTCTATCTTTTATAAAGTGTTCCCTGTAAACCTCATGAAAACTGACGGTAGGGAAAGAAGTCTTAAGTTACTGCCCTGTTGAAAAATCCTGCTCATGAACCTAACAGTTATCCATTATGTGCTATTTGCCGGCTTGTCAATCAATATATCTTAAGTTGTGCATTAATAAATGCTAGAGTGAAGAATAAGAGTTTAAGCAGAAGTCACAGTAGGAACAGACAAGGATTTAGCTGTGGAAAACTGTCCTACTATGTTTTAAGTTCGGACTTGTTCTGTGCCAGCTTTCCAGCATAATCTTTTGAGTTTATCCAATATCACTTGATCAAGACAGGCAAGCTGTTCATCAGTGTTTTGCTGCTGATTTGCTGAAAAACAATAAACATTTTCAAGTACTCCACAGAAAGCAAAATTGGTTTTTTTTGTATATTTAAGATTTGATCAGCCTTTGCTAACTTTGGACATTAGCTTCTGCCTTTCCTCAAATAAAGCCTCAAAATGCACTGAATTATTGAAATGGAAATTTCTGAATGGAAATTACTGAATGGGAATTTTCAACAATACAGAAACATTAGCATTTTTTTTGCATACTGCATGACAACACAGCTTTTTCTGTACATTACTCTGTGCCAAGCAGTGTACAAACAGGATAGTAAGGTAGCTCTCCATTATAAAGACCTTACAACTCAAATTATAAGACAAGAATACAAATAGAAAATCAGGCAATGGCAAGCCTTACACCAATGTCCACCATATATTAAATCCCTAATTTGGCATAGTTAAAGAATCTTTATTTCTATGAAAGTGTATATTCTTAAAATCTATACACCCACAAAGAGTTCTGATAGGAACATAATTAGAGAACACCACTCGGCATAGCACTGAGGCATCCTCTCCATGCAGTGGTGTAAAATTTCAAAGGTTTAATTTAAAAACACAAAGTTTTTATGCTAAACTCCACAGCCAAAATGAAATCTTTTAAGTGCTATTACTTTCTCAATGAAATACAAGAGATACTGCAGTCATTTTTGTATGTATTTTCTTTTGTGTACTTTTATTTGCGTTTGAAAGAAAAGCATAGCGGTAACACTTCCTGCTTCAAGACATTATGAAAAGTGCCTTGAAAGGTACAAATACTACATTTGCTTGAGCTCTGACTCCAAAGTTTCAGAAAAATAAAAGGATATCTCTCAGCTACTTCAGAAAAATAAAAGGATATTTCTCAGCTAGTTCTGCTATTTTGCCAACTAAGTTGATGATAGCGTATTCTTCTTTGCTTTCTTTTAAGTAGTCAAGCATCTTCTGAACTATGACAATTACATTCTGTCCATTTGTAATTCTGTAGAGAAGCTCTAGAGTCTGAAAGAGAAAGCAAAAGAATATATTTAATTTGCTCTGATGACAAAAAAGGAAGCAGGCAAACAGAAACACTGTAGTATGATGCCAAATTGAGCAAATGCCCTTATTTGGCAAGTCTTAAATCACTGCTTACCTACACAGCTTGTCACCCATTGTTTGTAACTGCTTTCACAATAACGGAGACATAACATGCCTTTTACACATCTCCTTTTAGAAAACATTTCACTCATCTTAAAAATTAACTGAATTTTGATGCTTAAAAATTCACTGACCTCCCTTTTAACAATGGGATCTGGATGGTCCAGACATTCAATTATTGTCATTTGGTGCTGAAGTGCCAGATTAGGATCCTGCTGAATAACATAGGTCAGAGCCTTTAAACCTAGAATACAAATGATTGGAAGTAATATAAGAGAACATATGCTACTATGACCAAATTGATAACATCTTAATGAAATCAGGTATCCTTACCTAAGTATTTCAAATTAATTTTGGGTGACAAAACAAACTTTCCAATGCACTTGGCAGCCTTTTCAAGTAGTTCAGAATTGGGATAAATTGTATAAATTGTTTGGACACATTCAAACAAGATAGCTGCAGGTGGGGAGAAACACATAATTAACGTGTATTAAATACTTCTATAATGCAAAACTTTTGAACAAGCAAACTCACTGATTGTATCAAGGACTTACATTACCATCCCACCCCACAAATCTAACTGCAGAGTACCTACTGACGTTAAGTAAAAATTGGATGAAAGACTATCTCCTTTAGCATATATGTATTTCTTATTAGCTTTTGCCACTGTGCATAAAACTTTGTCTTTAAAGTTCTTCCAATCTCAAAACCTCCTATAGTTGCTCAAGGGACTGGGACAGTCTGTAGAAAGCCAACAGGCAACTATACGGGATATGAGACAAAACGTCTTTCAGTAGTGCATTAAAAATACTCCAACGATCAAAAGCTGCACTGTACAGCTTTATCACTTGCTTTACAATTTACTAGTTTGGAACTTAAGAATTCAGTTGTTGAATACAAATATATTTTCAAACTGTAAGTATTTCAGCACAATCAACTACTCACATTTTCAATCTTTCCAAATACCAATAATTACGTAAAAGAACCTCACCCACCATATGTAATGTTATGATTTATCTCTGCTCTTCTTAAAGATTCATCTAGGACTTCATACATCAATTCACTTGTCCTGTTTAACAAGAAAAAAAGAAATTATTTGCAGCACTAACAAGCATGTAGTCTTATTTCACCAAACAGCTCAAATCCTAGTACTGAAATCTGTAACACAAATTATTCACGTCCCCAGGTTTGCTTTAACATGGAAGAGCTCCATAACATGTTTCTAAATGGCATCTAACAAGACATTTGCAGCTTTCAAGAGAAATATTTACTACATCACCAAACTACAAACACTTCCCTCACTGCTTGTATAAAAAGAAAACCTCAAGAGGAAAAAGACCCCAGATAACTAGGTTCTCACAAAGCAACGCCACTTCTTAGTTATCTTTACTCTGGATTTTCACACAGTTGTTTGGTAACCCCATAACAGAAGTCCCAGCAAAAAATGTATTTCAAGCATAACCCACAATAACCAATTTTTATTCAATCCGGAAGCTAAGAAACCAATTTTGCAGTTTAAAAAGTACTTACTCACTGCATTGGTTAATAACAGATATGTAAACTGAGCATGAAATTCACTTATAAAAAAACCAAACCAAACAAACTAAAAAACAGCAAGCTGTCTATGAGAGATACATCATGACTCTACTCTTTGTATCTTCAAAATAGTAATTAGAGAGAAAGATCTGGTTACCTTGGATCATCTTTTCCTAATAACCTCAATATTCTTAAAAGCTGAATTTGTAACCATGGTGCTGGCACACTGTGATAGTTGAAGTCAATAGGGAGCTTTCCTCCCACTACCTGCTTCAGGATGGCTACAAAACTCCCAGTCAAGTCCTTGTACCCAGATGAGTTTTCCTACATAATGAAAAAGAAATATAATTCAAACATTTTCAAGCCACACCTCAAAAGTAAAAGTAATCCACAACTTGAGTAAGATCAAAATACCTACACCAGTAGTTTCATCTCTTTAAAATAAAACTTCTACTCTCATCCCTCAACACCTGTAAGCTCTTCACTTGAAATCAATGTTATTTTCTCACACATCTGCAATGGGAGTGAATGTAACTTGAAGGCAACAGTAAAGAAAGATTTACAAGCAAATTTCAACAACCCCTTTAACACAGAGTTCTACTATATCTTCTAGCTAAGGATGCCAATGATGCTGAACATTCAGATCATGCAAGAACTGGATCTGTCAAGCTAACTGGAGACCTAGCACAGAAATAACATATCCATGATCACAAAAATTGACTTTTCTAATGACTACAAGCTTTTTCCTGCAAAACTTCTGTACAGTACACTGTGTATTGAAAATTACATGTATATTTATATATAAATAGCTCCCAAGTTAAATTGTGCTTCTAATTCTTTACCTACCTTAATCATTTGAAGATAAATATGCAAAGAAGCAGCCATGACTCCAGCATCCCTGTCACATAAGGCTTTCCGGAACTTATCATGAATATGCTGAACTTGGTTAGGAGCAATGAGATAGAATTTATATAAAGCTTGAACAGCTTTTCTTCGGATAATTTCCCTGGAAAGAAATGAGATTTACACAAAATAAAATTAAGCTGCATGTGCATTTTAAGTACCTGACTTAACAAAACAGATTGCACTTGTTATTTCTACAGTAATGTAAAATTTTGCGTTCAGCCATCAAAACACTGTGATTTACGAACCCATGTTTTAAATGTTTGACAACAAATTACTTTGCAAACAACATCTGAGGAAGTGACAAGGCAAAATTAAAAGAATAACAGGGCTTAATGCAGATTGACAAATCAAAAGAATGGCCAACAAATGAACAAAGAAATTGGACACTGCTAACCTGTTGTGGTCACATATGCAGCTCCAAATAAAACACCTTTCTGGAAGTTACTGAGTCAGCTCATTTTGCAGTTCCCTTAGTAATCAACACCACATTTACAATGTTATCCTATGTGATATTGTGAATTAAAAATCAATCAACCCAAAGGGATTGATATCTGCAGATACTTTCATCAAAGTTTCTATAAAGAGCTTTATTAAAAAATGTATCAGTGAAGTACTTCAAGGACCCCAATTCTGTTTCTCCACTCACTCTATAAACGTTGTTCATCCACATATTTCCAGCAGATAATTCAATTACATTTACCTATTAAAACTGGTTATGAAAAAAACTAAAATACCTGTCCAATACTCAGTCAAGATCACAAATAAATGAGACAAGAATTCCAGAGAAAAACTACAAGAGGAAAAATTCCTGAAGGTAATGATTAGAAAAAACAACTCAGAAAAAATATCAGTTTACTAAAACTACCTACAGAATGAAGTCATTCAACTGTACAAGACCATCTGAATTTCTGTAAATGAGTACATACTTCGAATGCTGGAGCTTGTCTTCTATTAGGGGAAGAACAGCTGGAATCATCTCCCGTGGAAAGATCTGGCTGACAATGGTTAATGCCATGCAGACCTCTACTAGGTTAGTGCTCTGTAAGTCCTGTTACAATCAGTGAAATAAGACAGTATTAAAGAAAATGACACCTCTGAAACATTATTAGGTGGCAGATTTTCAGTGTCACTCCAAAGCATATTTTCATTTCCTATTAAAATTATCAGAAGAACTCAAAGAAGCAAACAGACAACTTCTGTCAGCTAAAAGCAGAAGTTTATATTGAAATATGCATGCATGGCTCCTCCTGGAGCTGAGAATGTATATAATTGGTACATTTTATAAAGGAAATTTTAGGGTGTATCTCCTTTGAAAACATTTAAAAAATGCCTTCAACAGAAGGAATGCCAAGATTAAATTAAAAATCCAAGGAAAGCAATTTAAAATTTTCATTGCTAACCAAAGAAGCAACAACTTTAAGAGAGCAAGACAGAATTAATGAGTACATAGTTTAGATGTGTGACAAAAAGGGAAGAACTGGTCCAAGTTTAGTTTATAGAATCATTTCAATTGGAAGAGACCTTTAAGATTATTGAGTCCAACTGTTAACCCAGCACTGTCAAGTCCACCACTAAACCATGTCTCTATGTGCCACATCTACACATCTTCTAAATCCCTCCAGGGATGGTGTCTTCACCACTTCCCTGGACAGCCTGCTCCAATGCTTGACAAACCTTTCCATGAAGAATTTTTTCCTGATATCCAGTCTAAACCTCCCCTGGAATGACTTGAAGCTATTTCCACTTGTCCTACCACTTCTTACTTGGGAGAAGAGACCAACACTCACCTCGCTACAACCTCCTTTCAGGTAGTTGTACAGAGACAAGGCTCCCCCTGCCTCCTTTTCTCCAGGCTGAACAACCCCACCCAGCTCCCTCAGTCACACGTCATAAGACTTGTGCTCAAGATCCTTGACCAGCTTCGTCGCTCTTTGGACCCACTCCAGCATCACATGGGGATGGGCCTGCTTCTGTGCCTTTAAGATTTTCATTCATTATTTTATCTCCAGACCTCCAAAACCACTGTACCTTCACAACTGTGTTCACAAGTAGAAGTAGCAGTTCGTGATTTTCATGTAGAAATAAAGAAACTGCCAAGTAACCTATAAAGGAAAGCAGCCTCCATTACCACTTTCAGGCAATTAAGCAACTTCAAGATAGAAAACTTAAGACTGCCTGTAATACAAGAAGCATTAAATCAAACAATTACAAAAATACAACAAAAAACCCCACAGCTGGATGACAGTTACTCATGTTTTACAAATCAAGATTTTCTCTTATTTCGAGACAAACCAGTTATATGCAAGTTGCAGTAGAGCTCAACAGCTAAGGATACACAAGCTGTGAGAAATAAGAGACATAATAATACTGTTACAACTAAGGAGCAGCTAAAAGCACCATGAGAAACCACTTCCTGGAAAACCAGTACCGTCTCTGCACAGAGAAAATTATTACTTCTAGACTCCACAATACAAATGCACTTGTTAGGTTTGTTTCTCTTTTTTCAAAAAAATGAAGTTCAATTTCAAATAAATTTCAACTTTCAATTTCAAATAAATTTCAGCAATGTATTCAGCTCGGAATACAGCAGAGTAAATTCACCATCCCATGCCAAAAACTTCCTTGTTGTTTCTTAATAAGGAGAAAACAATTCCAGAAGCCCAGAAAATAAAACTTTTTCTTCAAGATCCCTTTTTTTTTTTTAACTAAGGGACTTAAAACGGGGGTGAAGGGGGCGGTGTGAGGAGGATGCCAACTCCTGACAATACCTGTGTTACACAGACAGATCTTAAAAAGGATCCACCCCAGTTCATTCAAGGCTCAGGGATCAAAATGAGCAACTTGGATACAAGTAACTATTGTCTTGGCTACCAGATTGGTCTATCTGCATGTGAAACTTGATCAGCTTAGTACACTACAAAAGCATGCCTCACTCTCATTCACTGAGGCTCACAATGGGTAAAAAGATGGGGCAAACCCATCTTGACTGGATCAACTGACAACAATTCCTTAATAAAAACTGAGAACTGACAAGGTCATCCTCATTTATCACATAAAGCTGCACAAAACGATGTCAGAAAGCCCACACAATAATAAAAAGCCCACACACTTGATAACATCCTTTTACCAGATCAAACCTTAAGGGGCTTTGCATCCAGAGAACATTTAGCCATCTACATTTGAAAAAAAAACAAAAAAATAAACATAAACCAATGCTGCTTCACCAAACCCTTCTCAAAAAGAGCCCTAGTATGGAAAGGTCTCAACCCAACCACTAGCAAGACACATTGCTTCTTGACACTTAGAGAGGTCACAGAGTTTTCTTCAAATCAGCTTACCACCTGCCCTCCCAGGTTTGGTGAAGACAGAATTTCTTCATCCCTACCACAGCGTCTGTGCACTGGCTTTCGTTACTCAGGGTTAAAGCAACTTTAAATCATCACTTGTAACGTATTCTCTCAGAAACTCCAATACATGAGTAGATGATCCAGATGAAATTCAAATAAAGGATATCAAACAAGCATATCCCACAAGACATTGCCTTCCGTGTATGCAGACATTGCTTGGAGTTAAACCATTTTCTCTGCAAACAAGAAGAAATGTCTTCACTAGGCAGTTGAATCAGCAACTGCAAGGAGATTCTCCAGACAAGACAGGCTGACAGCTACTTCAAACTAAATCTAGTGGAAACAACTTAATAGCCACACTGGCAGGCAAGGAAATCCAAACAGCATGGATGTTCAAAGACAGCTGAACCAGCCTTTCAGATTTCTTCAGGAAATTCTGCAAATAGGATTGCTTTATTTGCCTCACTTCCTACAACTGTTTCTAAATTAAAAAAAGAAATCCTACAAGCACCAAAACCAAAAACATTTGCCTGACAAACCTTTTGTATCAGCATCCTTGTCTAGACTTGTACTACATGCTTGAAATCAGATCCTGACAGAAACCCTTTTTCAGCTTGATGTGTTTTTTAGCAAAATCCCAAATTATTTTAGTGCTGCCACAATTCAAAACACTGACAGAACAACTGATGATGTCAGTGATTCCCCCTGCCTGCTGCTCTACAAGCAGACACCAAACACCTCACACACCAGGGAGTTAGTAATTTTCAAACAGTAGTGAGACTATGAAATAAAGCCAAATGCAGAGGAACATTTTAAGTTGTAGTTTTACATAAATTATAAATTCTAAGACACTTTAAAAATACAGTTTGAGAATATTACGAATGCTATAGCTCCATGCACATACCAACTCTTTTCTCCAAGAGATTTCCTTGCTGGGCAAGCTTGATTGCATGGATGTATCCAAAGGAAGACTCGTACCCCAGCATTTCACAATAGATGAGTCTCACCATACATTCTTTCATTAGTCTCTGTAATACCAAAAATAAATTATTAAGATTTTGAAGCCAGCCATGTCTTATTCTCTTCTTCACTGCTGTAATAAAGTAGAGAACTTCATCTGACAGAAACATATGTGCATTTCACAATATTTGCTAAAATCAGGGTACTTGTAACTTCTCTGCTATGAACCTCTTCTGTGAATCAATATTAATTTCTGACTATAGCAGCAGAATTCCTCATACTCTACACTTAGAGATGTTATCTTGTTTTGATTAGCATACATGTGATAAAGATTAATTACACCTAAGATAAACAATGTGAGTTAACTGAAGTGTTAGATGATCACACTGTTAATGCAGATTGTTTTTGACCAATAACTACACTGACCTAGGATGGGTTTTCCCTATGTAACAGAGTTCAAAAACTCTCACTCATGGGACTGAGATATGCATTAACTAACTCAAACCAGAGTATATCAACTGCTGCAACTCGGACATGAGCAACAGTGCATACAACAAAGCACAGCCGCTTACACAATACAAATCAATGATAAAACTAATGCCAGCCTGCAGAGAACATTATCTGATGGAAGCAGTTCGACACCTAGCTTTTTTGTCTGCATTATTTCAGACACTACAGGATGACAGGCTCTGCACACCGCACTGTTGCAGGTTATTCACATCACACAGAATTGCAGTGTTCTCACTATTTTAACCACGCTGCAAAACCATGGACACTGATACTTTTTAATGCTGATAATTATGCCTCCTTATAATGCACGTAACCTGCACACTCCACCCGGTAAAAAGGGTGAGAACACTGCTTTTCACCGCTTTTGGTCTGCTGTTCCCACAGCCTGTAACCACTAACCACACTTACAAGTGTTGTGGTGGGGGCTGAAACTGCTGCTTTCAAACTGGTTAGCTCCTGCTGGATTAATTTTTCTTCTTCCTAGAGAAAAAAAATCAACTTATTTTAACCTTGCGTAAGTTTTGGATGCACACTATGAAACAAATGTCAAAGACGTGTTAATTTCACAATATTCCACGGTCTTCTCAAAAGCAGCGTACGCCTCAGCAGTAACACCGAGCTGCTTGCTGCAAGCACCGTGGGCACCAGTACTCCCCGGCAGTACTGTGCTTGCCCACGCCGCACCGAGCAGGTAACACATAACTCGACAGCCCACGAACGCGCACCGCAGTGGGGTTTATCACCGGGCTCCGGAGGAGGAACCCCAGGCAGGACCCAGCCCCGCGGCTGAGGGGAGACCGGCACCGCGCACAGGGCCCATAGCACCGCGCCGGCACGGCAGGAACGACCGAGGGGTGGAAGGGAGAGGAGGGAGGCCCGGCCCACGCCTGCTTCTGCGCGGCGGGAGGAGCAGAGGGCCCGCTCCCGGGAGCCGCCCGCAGCCCGTACATGCTTGGAGGTGAGCGCCGTGATGCTCCGGATGAGGCTCCCGAGACGGGAGGTGGCCGATGCCCTGCCGGGGCCGCCTCCTCCCGGCCCGGCGCCCGGGTCGTGCTGCCCCAGCAGCCCGGGCAGCACGTTCAGTGTCCGCTCCACCACGTCGCTCATGCCGGGCCCGGAGCTGCCCGCCGCCGGCCGGAAGGGACCGGACCGCGGTCCTCGACACCCGCTCACGCACTTCCGGGACCGCCCGGCGGCAGAGGGCGCTGCACAGCGCGCTGGGGCGGGGCGGGGCGGGGCGGGACGGGAAGGGACGGGAAGGGACGGGAAGGGAAGGGCCGGAGGACCTGGAGCCGCCCACCCGCTGAAGGCCCGATCCTTGATAGCGCCGGGCGGGGGCGCCGCGCTGCGACGGGCGGGCAGGAGCCTCGGGGGGCGGCTGTGGCTGCGGAGAGGCAATCGCCCAATCCCCGCTGTCAGACAGCACGGCCCGGTCACCGCTGAGCCGTAAGGTGGAGCTGAGCCACAGCGTCTACAGCGGCTCAGCCCGGAGCGGGGAGACAGCAACCCCTGCCCGGCCTCCAGGGGTTGGTGCCCGCGGTCACCAGTCGAGTTGAAATAGGAGCAGATCCACACTCCGAGGGAACACGTACATCCAACCCCGTCAGGTTTACCTGATCTACTAGGCTGTGCCTTTCCCAGTTCGTGTATTCAGCCAGTTGCAACAAGATAGACACTTTACTGTATTTTTTAACAGAATTGTTTTTCTCCCAGTTTTTCCCATGAACAAGGAAAAAGCATAGTGCCACTTAGAGTCAATCATCCCACCACAGGCAGCAGACTAAAATAATACTGATCTCGGCTTAGATGCTTAATTCCATTTTAGCCCACGTATGGCTTTTTCAGTTCCACATATTTCTCTGAAACAAAATTACTTGACATTTTTCTAGTTCTAAAGTCAGTTCAAAGGGGATATATTTTTTCTAGAAAGGGTGGGGAAGAAACTGAAGTAATCCCTTCCAAGCTATGTGTTTGCAAGGAAAAAAGAATCCATCTCCAACATGTATCTGGTCAGGCAATCATGCTGAAGCTTGAAGCTATGAAGTGATTTATTATCAGGAAAGAAAACCAAACAAATAGGGACCAACTGAGGTCAGTAGCTCCCAAAGTATTAAAAGTTGGCATTTCTTTGAAGCGAAGTTGAAAGATTTGGACTGGTATTTTTTAAAGTTCATTTTATGAAATGAATCGGTTAAGAGTATCTCAGTTAAGAACTGCTCCTGTAAAGATGATATATATATTATATATTGATGTATTAATGATATAGATACATATCATATATATCAATACATCATACTATGTACTATAAAGTTTGTGAGCTTTGCAGACCAAAAATGTAAATTCAGTAAGCAGAGGAAAAGCTGCTGGTTAAGCTGATAGAACTTCAATAAATGCTCAAATCTTAATAATTTGACTTTTTTCTTTTATTAATTCCAGGGGCTCAAGTCTTTCTCTTTGCCTCAGGTGGTGTACAAATAAATGCTACATGTAAAATGACTTGTACAAACTCTCGAGCTTGTGTGGGATTAATTTCTCATACTGTTGATGATTGCATTGAAACCAGGAGGACTAATCATAGTGCACACATGGGCACAATACACGACTTATTGTCAGATGACTACCTGTATATCTGATGCCTTGCAGAATACAAGATCACCAGTAACTCCTCCAACATTTTTTTCCCATATAAGCACTAGAATATGTAGTATATCTTTTAGCATAATATGAGATACAGTAGAGAAAGCAAACCCACAGAAGTAAGGCACGTCTGCCATCTAAGCATAAACTTGGCAAGGTGGGCTGTTGGGTTTTTTGGCTTCATTCTGCTTTCATCTGCCTTCTGTTTTCATCAGCTAGATGAAAAACTTTGAAGTGTGGTTATAAAACAACAGAAAAAATGTCACTGAAAGGCTGTTTCAGTTATTTTCCAGGCTCCATATCAACTTCACTCACCACAATAAAAAACCATTCTAATTGCCATTCCTGTAAGTTCTCCTTGGCATCTGACAAGCAAGTGGTATTCTTTATGGCTCATGAATCATCTCTGGAAATAAACAGTTCCAGAATAGAAAATGGGTTGATTGTGCATGAGCCAAAACAGAATCCAAAATAGAAGAGCTTATGTTCTTCACCGTATTGTCTCTGGGCTGGGAAGAGGAATGTGTAGTAGTAGATGATATAAATGATGCCAAATGAAAACAAAGATATAGTGAGAAACAACGGCAGTGCTTTTACCCAGGCATTTTCCTATGATGATTAAACATATTTCGTTGTAATTAGCAGAGATGATGCATTATCTGTCCTGTGTCATACAGCTTACCAGTGTGCTAGCCAGGAGTGTGGCACTGCAGGTGTGCTCTGGGCTGCCAGCTGCAGCCAGCCTCCATCAGTGTGTTGCCTTGACATGAAGCCTTCATGAATGGGGAAATGGTTTGTGTTTGAAGGTTCAGGCTTGGCTTTCCTGGCATGGTTTCTTTTAGCTTGTGATTTCAAGAGCTAAGGTGGCTATTGCAGGCATACTCTCTTTTGATGATGGCAGGTTTTCAGTTCTTTTCTCTCTCCACCGTCAGCCCCAGACCCTACAGAGTCCTTCTGCATCATTTCTTGTTAGAGAGGCTTGGCAAAGCAGAAAGCTATTTAGCACAAGGAAACAACAAACTGTATAGAACTGGGAAATAGTATAAAAAAGGTTTCATAGAATCCCAGACTGGTTTGGGTCAGAAGGGACCTTAAAGATCATCTGGTTCCAACCCTTCTGCCATGGGCAGGGACATTTTCCACTAGACCAGGTTTCTCCAAGCCACATCCAACCTGTCCTTGAACACTGACAGAGATGCGGCATCCACAACTTTCATTTATCACATAAACAGAAGCATATCATGGAAAATAAACACATTTGAACACAAGTAGATACACCATTAAACACAAAAAGCCATAGGCAAATACATCACATAAATAGGTGTATTTTTATCCAGCAATTTCTTTGCATTGCAGTCACCCACTAGAGTTCCTTTTCTGACCTGCTTTACAGCTACCTTCTTTTCAGCATGTTTAAATTACATTCACTGCTTTTGTATTGTGTGCTGGCTTTTGTCTGAATAATGAAATGTATAGAGTCCTATAAATGGATTCATGTTTAAAACACACTGCAGGAAATGTGCAGGTGGCATAGAATATCAGGAAGGGTAAATGAGAGCAAGTATATATTTTTTGAACATTAGACTTGCAATGAACTGTTGAATTAATACAAAATTGGGATAGAGTATCAAGAATATTGAAGCAAGAATTTATCTTTTTGTTTTTCTGTATCAGTAATATTCTGCAGTTTTGGGATTCTTGTTGATGGGTATGTGTATATATACACACACACATATATATATATATGAGCTAAAGCTGGCAGGGGAAGAGTCTACACGTTCTTGTGGAAGCTCTTGTCTTCTGTGCTTCTGAAGTGAGGGAAGTTTAGTTTAGTCTAATAATTTTCTTGTAGGCTACCAGGCAATGTGTAAATAAGCCTATTTTGTTGTAACATACAGCCAACCGAAACCAAAATATCCTTTAAATCCTAACTCTGGTGCAGATCCAAGGGTAGGAGCCCAGTAATACGTAAGGATTACGGAGTTATTGGTGCACATCTGAAAGTTATTGCTTTGGATCTGTGGATCACAAGCATACTAATTTACAGTAGTGAGCCTGATGTAAACTACAGCATCAGGTTTTGTCACTATTTAATCTAAATTAGATACAAATGCTTGAGTATTAATAAAAGGGAAAATAGAAATTGCAATTTTAGTGCCCTTAGTCCAGTTAATTATTGCTCTACTTCTTTGTGTTCTTCCCAGCTTGTACTGTAATACACTCGTAAGGGATTGAACAGTTCCCATATTCCTGCTCTCAGCTGCAAACGCACTGATCCTCTTCATCTCCCCAAATAAGAGGTTTTAGCCACTTTTCTAAGCAGTTAGCAAGTATTGAGACTTCCGATCTCGGTGTGTTTTCAGCTGACCCCTGCATATATGCATCTATCACTGCAAAATGATGAGGTCTTTCTTGAAGAAAACCCACTGTCATCTCCCATTTTGGAAGCCGATCCTATCGTGCTGAAAAGAGCTTCTGCTGCAATCCTTTGTTCTGCCACAACCCGCTGAAAATGTCTGCTCATTTCTAGGGATCTGTTGATGCTCTGTGTCTGCAAGGGCTAGATTTTAATTTATGAACCTGTTCAGAATTAGCTGACATGCTTGTGGCCATCTCGGCTACTGCTTGGTTTTAATTCTAAATGTTGAAGAGCGTGATCCTCTCTCTGTATGAGAAGCATCGCTGGTGGCTGTGCCTTTGCCGTGGGAAGGTCTGGGCTAGATGTACGTGATCCCCGGCCCCCTCTGCAAGGCCGCATTGCACTTCCCCAGCTCCGGAGGCGTGCGCACAAGGCCTCCCCACTCCGGCCACAGCTTCCCCGCAGAGTTGCTGCCAGAGCGGCTGCGGCCTCCAGCTCCGCACCGCACCGCACCGCACCACCACCCCTGGCGGCCCCGCTCCCGCAGGCGGCGGGACACACCGCGGAGGTTCCGGTCCTTCTCCCCCGGGGGCGGGAGCGCCGGGGCAGCGGGCGCGGAGCGGGGCGCGCATGCTCCGCCCTCCCCCGTCTCCTCCCCCCTGCCCGGGGCCGGCGCGGGGACGGTCTCGACCATTTCTGCGGTCGTGGGGACGCGGGCAGAGCGCGGTGGCCGGTTCTGCTCGGCTGCGCTCTGCGGCTTCAGCACCGCACCGCTGGACAGCGCCCGCCGGGCAGCGGCTGCGCTGCGCTGAACGCCCGCCGGGGCGGTGCGGGCAGCAACCTCGCGGGCAGCGGCCCCAGCTCCGGTCCAGGCTCGCCCTCCGAGAGGGCTGAGCGGCAGCAAGATGTTCCTCAAGCTGGCCGTCGTGGTGCAGGTGCTGTCGCTGCTGGCAAGCCGGGCGCACTGCTTCCCGAAGCCCGGGGGCAAAGGTAAGCGCCTTCCTTAACACATTTTCTCCATTTTCTATGAAGGGGGAAAGTTTCCCAGGGTACAGATAAAGTAAAAACTTTCCTTCCACTTGACTAAAAGCAATTAGATCCTAAAGAAACAATATTCCTGGTGCAAGACACTGGATCACTGAAGTTGCAATCTAATATGAAAGTGG